CCTGCTCTCACGGCTGTCTGGTGCATCCACTTTCCCCTTTGCTTTTGAGCAGATTTCAAAAGGCCTGTTTTGTCTATGCATGATGAACTTAAAGTCCTTGAGCCATGTTTTGGGCAGTCCTCCCACGTGGGGCAGAAATTTGCCTCACACAATAGCAGAATAAGGATCGTAACAGCTAGTCTGCAGGCTGTAAATTAACTTCATGGTCCAGGTCATACTGCGCTTTGAAGTCATTGCTTTTTTATTTGTGTGCTTCCCCCATTTAGTCCTCAAGAATATAAATCTTTAGGAAGAATTATCATAGTTTAAAAGGCTTAGACAAATAGCAGCTGGTATTGGTTCGTGGTCTCCAATTGGTTCCAGACATCCCTGGTTTTGATAAGATTACAAGACAATTCCAGAAATTCCCTGCCTACAGCTTTTGCTAATGCCATTAAATGTAACGTCGTGATTACTGATGCTTTTGGAGCTGATTAGCTAGCATCCTGTGTGACTGATAAACACCCTGATTTAATTATTTCTTCAGAATGTCCTCGTGTTGTACCCCACTCCCCCTTCTTAAATTATCTTTATTTTAAAATACAACTTAGCAGAAATGTTCAATGAGGATTTTTAAGAAGGCTTCAGGAACGCAAGGATGCCTGTGTTCAGCTTGTGCTCAATGGGGACAAGATGCTCCACTCCAGCAACAGCCAGAACGAGCCTTGCTCTGTTCCAGAGCTATTCCAAGTTGGCTTGGCTTTGTACCCATGGAGGTGTCATCCCAAAGGGAAAGACTTCACCTGAATTGTAGCTTTTGACTTTGTGAAAAGCTGACATCCATGTTTTCATTCTGGTTGAGTGTTGACACAGAGAAAGAGCTTGTCACAAAACCTTTTATTGGAGTCGTCCCATGCGTGAAGTACTTACAAGCAGAAAAATGCTCTGTGAGAAGTGTCTGAGATCACAAAGAATGCAAAGTAAAAGACAATGATGAAATAAACACCTCCCTTCCCTCCCCCCCCCCCCCCCCCCAAAAAAAAAAAGATTATTCTTTCTGGGGCACAAAGGATGCATGTTTTGAATGTCTGTGGTGTAGAATTAGACGAGGCATCTTCGTTATGTGTATAACTCTGTCCTTTTTCTCTGGACTTTTGTAAATTGCTCTCATAAGCTTTTGTAAATTCTATCCTTTGCTTTTAATAGTCATTCCGTGAAAGATTTTTTTTTTTTTAAATTGTACAGTAAATTATAATTTTGCATTTGCAGGTGTACAAGATGGTCTTCCCTTTCTTCACCCTCCCTGCCAAATAAGATTACCTCTTACTTCCAAAAGTATAGCCATAACTGATGCCACAGTTTGTGAGCACACATGTAAGGAAGGCAGAATAGGTAATGTCTCAGTTGTAGCATAAGCCTCAGCACCGTTTTGTTGACAGGGCCTTTTTCATTGCTTACTTCTTCATTGTTGAAAGTAAGAGTCAAGATTCTTGTTTAATTCTTGTGATACTTGGCAGCATTATAAGGAAATTATTTTGCTTTTAGATGAGCCTGCAGGTCATAGTTCGCCTGAGATTTTTATTATATTTACCAGCCTGTTTTATGAGTCACAAAGGTGTTTGTCCCAACCTTGGCTAATCTCAGCGTGAGGCGATAATGTCCTGTATGCACAGAGACAGGCAGAGCGTGCCAGTGAAAGGTATGAAGTCAACGCACGTTAGAGAAAACGTGATGAACTTTCTCCGCAGCCCTAAACCACCTGTTTCAACAACCAACATGTAATGATTGGAGCTGACATTGGAAGATCAGCATTGGCAGGGGATTTTAACAATCTTCAGTACATGAACTTAGTGTACATTAACCTAATGGACATGCCTTTTCTGCTTTCCCATGTGTGAATGTGCCTACTCTATTAAACACAGCTGCCTTTTTATTTGTACTATTTATTGGTATTAATGTATATTGTATGCTGTGAGGCAGATTTTGGCTGCAACCACCAGTCTGTAAGCTGGGGAAATGTAAGGCAAAATTTGACTTTTGTGCAGTGCATAAGAATATGTGTTTGTGTAGATGAGCGTGTATCTACACAGGTACTTAAAATCTGTCATCTGAGTCAACTTTATTTGTCTAGTAAATATTTGAATCTCTTCACTTTCCTAATTTTACATTGAAACTGGATTAAGCTGTCTATTACATCTGCATGTACCTGTGTTAGATATGTTAAAAAATTGCATGAAGGGTATGTATACATTCTTGCTTTTGGTCCAGTGATTTGTATTGGGCATGTATAGCTCATTTTTGCAGTTTGCCTGAGTGTAAGCATGTCTTAACCTATTAGTCAGACAAAGAACCGCACATGCTTGTGTTGCCAATATTGTCTCCTGTTTACATACAGAGAGGCTATACGATGATAGTAATGAATGAGCAGGACCTATCAGTGTAGGTACTCCACTTTGCATATTGCATTAGTGTAGCTATGCAGCTTTGCTTTCAGCCAGCAAGCTATACGATCTAAGCTCATAAAAATGAAGGAAACAAAACTAATCTCCAAAAAAGAGAGAGAGAGAAGGGGGCGGGGCGGAAACCTTCGTGAACCACACAGTTGTGTTTTTATGTAACTGCTTTTGTGGCTATCAAACTACCCGAAGTTCATGGTATGTTCATCTTGTCAGTATGCATTTAAGACCACCAGCTTTGTTTTATTTCAAACCATCTTTTGGGTTGATGTAACACAATATGACTGAATGTGTTTTGGCAGGGAATAACTAATCTAATCCATATACCACCAGATGAAAGTAATTTACTATGGGTTTGTGGAAGAGCTTGAATTTTCAGTGCAGCCCACAAAGACATTTTTCCCCTTTTAATTGTCCCTTTTTATATCTAAACAGATCCAGCAATGGGAACAGAACCTGGAAAAATTTAACATGGACCTTTTCCGAATGCGATGTTACCTAGCCAGTTTGCAAGGTGGGGAGCTCCCAAACCCAAAGAGCCTTTTGGCTGCTGCCAGTCGTCCTTCAAAATTGGCACTGGGGCGGCTCGGCATTTTCTCCGTCTCATCCTTCCATGCACTGGTAAGTCCGAATGCACTTTTCATGGATGCATTACACAAAGCATTCATTAATATTGTACTTAGATGTGGAATTGTGTTGGGATAATATGCGGCTGCACCCAAATGTATTGGCTCAGACAGCCCTGTTTCCTTCTCACCCTTTCTGCCAGTTTCTTGACTGCAAAAAAAAAAAATCTCTTCCACAGACGCAGACTTTGAAACCCTGAGGATATGGCCATGACTTTTTTTTGGCCCCTGAGGACTCTCAAATTGGGTTCTTCTGACCTATATCTAAAAAAGTAACAAACCACAATATTCTTCAGCTGCAGATGAGTCATTGTGTTGAAATTTTATCACCACGATTTCACCTCCACTGCGTTCAGGGTTTAAAGTGTATAGGAGCTAAGTCACTTGGAGTGAAAAGACCCTAACACTGAAATTCCCAAAAGTGATTCAAGTCCCTCTGGGCTGACCTGATATTTTTTTGAGGTCCCAGAGGGGTCTATTTTTCAGGAACAGTTTGATACTGCCCTGAAGAGGAATCGTTTTTCTAGGGAGAATCCAAAATTATACGTCACTTTGTAAGAACTGTGGCCTGCGTTTGCAAAGAAGAATGAGGGAGATCCTCAGCTGCCGTAAGCTGTTCTCACCGTGTCGACTTTAAGTGAAGCGTGGCAGGAGCAGGTTCGCCTCTGCTCTTTAACCTTGGCAGGGCTGGGACGCTGATCTCGGCACACAGGGGTGGACCGTGTTTGCTGCGTGAGAAGTCAGTCTGAATAGTAGACCTGAAAGTCCCGTCGGGGAACGTGTTTTTATCAATGTGGTTTATGTCATCGCTTGTTAATAACTCAGTGCCATAGCACATTTATCTCCTATGTTTGGCAATTTTGAGTCTTTCTTCCTCTAGCAATTTCATATCTGAATGATAGGTTATCATTCTTCTTTGGAGTCTTTTCATTAACTTCTGTTGTTGTACAGAGCAATATTTTTCTCAGTTCCTCCCTTCCTATGACCTTCTAATTTTGCCCCATAAAAAAAAAATAAAATTACTGCACCACTGGAATACCAAAACAAGCATCACTGCTGAAAGTTTAAAACACTGTCCTTGCACCTTGACGTGTCACATTGATGTAAACTGAAGTAATTCTCATTTGATGCCTTAAGTTGAAATAATTGGCAATATTTTGCTCTTATGGAAGTGATATAGGAAGGCCTATCTCTGTGTTTAAATAGATCTGCTCCAGGGATGAAGCTGCTCTCAGGAAACGTACCCTATCTCTGTCACAAAGAGTCCGAAATAAGAAGGGTTTATTTTCTTCACTAAAAGGACTGGACACATTGGCAAGAAGAGGAAAAGAAAAGCGACCTTCCATAACTCAGGTAGATCTTATTTGCTGGGGACAGCATAGAAGGGCTTGTTTCTGCTGGGGCTTATCCTGTGAGGTGCTGTTGGTGCACAGGGGAGATGTCTGTTCATCAAATTTCCATTCGCAGTTTCAGTAAACGTGGCACACTTGCAACAGGAGCATCACTTGTGAAGAGTATATATCTAATTTGGGGTTTTGTTGTGATAAATAATGCTGGTGAATGAGAGGTTTTGACCCAGTGGGTTAGTTCAGCAGCACGAGGCCATGGGGTTTGGATTTGTAACAAAACTTGTGTTCTTGTTTGGCAGTAGGGTTTCTTTGGAGATAGCCTGCACGCACAGTCCTTAACACAGTGTTTTGCTGGCTTATGACGGGGGCTCTGAAGTACTGCTGCAGTTTAGTGTAGAGTAACACAGGTGAGTCTTCAAGGGAAAAAGAGGAGACACTGGCTGCAAAGACAGCTGTCTTTGGCATGGCCTCTCAAAGCAACACGCCATTTTAGCCAACAGGAGAAGACCGCTGTCACGCAGGAGGCCGGCTGCAGCTGACTAATAAAGCTGTGCAGTTTTACACCAGCTGAAGGCTTGGCTCAGGTTTGATGCACTGGGGCAGGCTGGCCCCAGGGAGACGGGCTGTGCTGATGCGTGGGCCCGCTGAAGGGCTGTGTTACGGCTAGTGAAGCTACAGCATCTCACGGTCATTTCCTCTTTGTGAAATTAATGGCCCACGCACACATTCAGTGTAAACCCCACACTTCAGGAGCCCATATTTTCTCGATAAAAACAATTAAATGTGAAACAAAAGTTCGCTGCCTACTCCCTGACAAAAAGGTAAATAACAGCAGAGACGCTTCCTTGATGGTGAGGCAGAAGACGTAGAGGTGCACCCGCACTCAGGACATTACCATTTTCACTAGCCTTTGCCATGTCTGCTATCTCTTCTGCAAAGCAGGGGTTTGTGCATTGTTCGTTAGGTGACTTTGCCCCTGCTGTTCCCTGGCCCTTGTATTTTGATTTTATTAGTTAAAAATCTATGATCAGCACTTGAAAATTGTCTGTTCTTGCATGTCTGGTAATCTGCTTGTGGAATATTTAAAGAAGCCTATCTGTACGCATACTGCAATAGTCCCAGAGCTGATGCAACAGATTTAACATTGCAAAATAGTACGTCAGGATTTTCTAGTCTAGTGGTTTGTATTTTTAATAGGTAAATATTTATCTATGTGTTGCACTGGGATTAAGCTGCTTTGGGTGACTGTTACACATTTTAGCGTATCGATGGAGATGCAATTATATGGTGAAATTGAATAAGAATAAAACTTGAGTCTTTCTTAAGAAAGAGGGAACCGAAGGAGAAATTTTCTCCCAGTCATCCTTTTTACATAATTTCCCCTGCGTTTCCCAGCAGATGAGACTGGTCTGCAAGTTCTGCACCTCTTATTTCTTTATTAATAAAGAGCCCCGAGGGAAGGGAAGTTATGCCCCTTAGCTCCGTTCCCAGCGGAGCTGATACCTCGCACTGTCTTAGCTGGGTAATATGTCCTACCGTACACTTTATAGCCCGTGAAGGGGATTCTGCAGAGCTTGGGGACGGAGAATCTTATTTCTGTAGCAAGGAGAGGAGGCTCCTGCTGCCCTCCCAGAGCTTTTCTGAGCGTGGAGGAGGGAGCCCTGGCGCAGGCAGAGGTGCCCCTGGCACGTCCTCACCCTGCTTATTCCAAACCTCGCAACCAGCTGGCACAAAGAAGTGTTCATTTTCATCCACAAGCTGAGGTTCTTGATTATTTTTTTTTAATTAAACATCCTACAATAAAATTAAGGAAATGTCAATGCTGAATGTTGCCTATGAATAACATCGGGCTATGACTCATAACCATAAAAGTGAGGAATTTTTAAGGGCACAGCTTGAAAACTGACCCATGAACCTAGAAGGTGGCTGAAAAGGGAACCACGTCCTTGCTCAGGCTTGTGTGTATGCACATAACTGTGTATCAAAATCAGAATAGGCCTGAGGCTGCCTTTCTTCTTGTCTCTTTCAGCCCACTGGGAAACTAGGTTAAGCAGAGAAGTGGAGCTGGCTTCTCTGCTCATTGTGCTGCGACGTCTGTGTCAAACAATAGGTTAAAAATGTCTCGTTTTCTTGGATTTAATTAAAGTTCATTTGACTGGAGCTGGTATGTTTTAATCTGCCGTACCCTAGCTTCAAAATTAGATGGTATATTCTTGAACATCATTGTGTCAGAGAAGTTTTTAATTTTATTTTAAGTTTATTTTTGTGGTATTAATAAAAAAAAGAGTCACAGTTTCTATGCTGGGAGGCTTTAATAAACATTGATGAAGTGGCTCAGTTAATAAAACTTCACTGTAGCAGATGGGGGATGTCTAGGCTCACATTATCCTCAGTTTCTTAAATGCTTATCTGCTTTCTTGTGTCTAAATGATAAACTGTTTTGAGAAATCATAAACAATAAAATACTTTGATTACATCTGTGGGTGAGACAAGGAAGAGGAAGTTCAGAAGTGGTGCCCTTTATTTGCATTGGCAGAAACTGGATTTCATGTGAAATTTTAAGAGAGTTTGTTGTTGTCTTGGATTATCCAAAAGGCTTTTGCTAGTCCAAAAAAAAAAGAAAGGGGGAAAAAAAATAATAAAACAAACCAAAAACCCCCAAGCTCAGATGTAAGTTTGATATTGTCCTGATTTGTTGACTGCAGGAGGAGTTAAAAATTGCTATTTATATTTGCCTTTGTGATATACCAGTAGTTAAGCTTTCAAAACAGATGGGGAACGTAAGTCTCAGTTTCTGCTTTCATCACTTCCAAAGCAGACACAGTAGTCAGCTATTTTCATTACTTAATAGTGCGGGTTTTGGGTCAAGTATGCCTCTAAAGCTAAGCTAAAAGTTTCCATCGATAGTGTCAAGCTAACTGCTCGGTTAGAAGAAATGAAAAACTATAGGGTAAGAGGTTTTAGAAAACAGCAACAATGATTTTAAATAGTTCCTTTAAATCATTATGAGCTTTATAGCTGTAGCTAACAGTGTCTCAAAGGGTGAATCTATAACTTTGAGTGTAGTGCATGATTTGTAGGTAAATTAATCTTATTAATAAACAGTAGATAGGAAAAAACAAGGACATGCACACTCACATTCAAATATGTTTAAAAGTAGTCATGTAGCCTGAAAGAGAAAACTTGCTTAAATTTTCTTTATAGAGAGAAATTTGTATTTCTTTAATGCTACTTCTAGTCAGAATAAAGCAATAGAAAGTACAAAAAGATCTCAGGGGTTTAGCAGGTTGATATATATTTATTAATTTCATTTTAATTTTTATTTTTCCAAAGAATTTACCTAACACAGATAAGAAATAAAGGGTTTAATTTTTTAACTTATTTATCTGTGATATTTTTAATAGATTTTTGATTCAGCTGGAGGACATGGATTTGTTGCTGTCCAGAACTCAGCCAGCTCTGCTGAGGTAAGATATGCCTGTCCTCATTCTGCACCATCTTGTTTTTAAATTCCTGAATATATTTCACTAAGTGTATGGTGAGGCTGTTTCAGAAACCCCACAGAGGTTGATAAAATGCAGTTAGTGTTAGATGGCAGGATTATAATTCTGCTAATGAAACCACTTTAACATAAGTTTCTGAACATGCATGGTAGCCCTTTAAAAATAATAAAAAAAAATTCCCTAGAAGCTTCTTCACAACAGTAATCCTTAGAGTGTGTACACTGCCTTAGAGAGATTTGAAACCGAGCTTGTTTGAAAGCATCCTTCACAGTATGGCAAAACCCAAGGTGTATTTTTCCCCTTTGCCTACTTCAACAGAACCTGTATATTTTTAGTATAAAGGCAAACAAAGTCTAATTAAAGTCTGTGGAGCATACCAGCAGAGAAGTGTGAGTTAATATATGGCTGGAGATTTCCCAAGTAAAGGAAGAGGAAGCGGCATCCCCTCAGCTGCTTTACCCAGTAAATAGCTGCGGCTGACTTTCTCCGGTGCCCAGGAGGAGGAGAGCTGCTGCCTGGAACAAGTCATGGTCCCTCTCAGCTCCTGCAGCTTCCTTGGGGATAACATCACTGTCCCCTAGTCTGGAAGCAAAGCTCCAAAACCCTTGATCACATACACATGGGACCACTGAGCGTTGTCTGCGTACTGCGGGGCTTACGCAGACAGAATCCTTCTGCCTCGCTAGTCTTGCGCAGTCTCCAAATAAAAAATTCAAATTAAGTCTTAGGCACGGAGTTTCTGGACTTTGCTTTCTATATGGTATAGCTGGGTTTCTTTAATGGCAACATGTGCCAGACTCAAAGGGGTGTTTGTCTTCCTGTCTACCCCCTGTCCCTTTTCCTCCTTTGTTGCCTGATATACACCTGATGTAGCTTAAAACTTGAAAGAAGACTTTAAAAAAAATCATACTACAGTACTGTTCCCTTTCAGCTGAGTTTGTGTACCAGGTATTAGACAAAAAGTCAAAATCTGCCTTTAAAATGAAATATTGCTCTTGAAAATGATTAACTATAATGTAGAGTGATACTGAATCTTATGAGGAAGATTTGGACAAATTTCATCATTTTTCATAGGTTTTTGTGGGGGTTTTTTTGTATCGTTATGTGCTACATGGTTTATTTTCTCATGAAGTGCATCATGTAATGGCTAGTTAAGAAAGGAATATATAATTAAGCAGAAGGTATCTCCCACTGACAGCAGCTAATCCTATAATGCTGTTTTGCCTCCTGAAAGTATCTTCACATTTTACCTGTTCTTGGAGGAAGTATTTTGAAACACCTGAATTACTTGACCACTTGCTTGTTATGTCCTGGGGTGGGAAAGTATTTAAACCAAATCACTCCTCTCTTTTCAAAATAATGATTAGGAGACATTTCTGGGTGAAATGATCTCAGATCTGTAGAGAACACTTACAAATTTCTCCCGAATGTACCATTGGGTGTGGTGTGAGATGGCATCCATTTCCCACCTCAGAGACAGTAAACACAATTAGTTCCTGTCCGATCCTGTTAAAACGTGGAAAGATTTTTGTCCCTCCCGAACCTGAGTGGAGGTAAAATCTCTCGGGTGCACCCCCGAAGGTTTCGGCACCAGTCCCTCGGCTTAGTGCCGACCCTCTCGGGGTTGGGAGGTCGATGGCGCTGCCTTGTGCAACGGGGCCTGCTCTGCGTCTCCTCTCCTCTGGTGCAGCAAGTGCACTTGCTTTTCCAGAACCCTTTTGGGGAGACAGAGAAAGGTTTTGAAGGTGCCAGGGAGCTGGCAGAATGAAGTTCCTCTCTCATTGGTGCCATGGCGGGGAAGGGACAAGGTCTGGCTTCTTGACCCAGCTTTCGCAATGGGGTTTATGTGTTCTCCGAAGCTGCTGGGTAAAAGCAGCCTGCTCCGAATTCCGACGGATGTTCGCAGCCCCGCGCCCTGGGTGGAGGTGGCCAGTGTGGGGACAATATCGCTGTAGATTTTGGGGCCAAGCTTTTACAAAGTTTAGCGGGGTTGTGTTTCAAGACTGAAAAAACCCACTCCAATTTAAATGCTGAAGCAGAGCTCTGGAACTCAACCTTATTTCTAGAAAAACATTATCATCATTATTATTATCGCACCCTTGTTTCTAAAACCATTTTTTTAATGGGAATTAAATATAGCGTGGGCATTTTTAAGATCCTGACATTTTGATGAATCATATGACAACTCAGAAATGATTCATCGTAACTCTGAAAACCGTTACTTTGGCATAAGCAGCCCAGTTTCATTGGCTGATTTCAAATGAAAAAAAACCAAACACCCACCATCAAAACTTTTATAAAATGCTACCTGAGGACTGCAGTGAATGACGAATAGTGAAGTCTGCCAGGGACGTTGTATTTTCCCTGAAAAGTATGATAAAACCAGAGGCAAATAGTGGGGGAAATTATGAAGTAACCTGTTGGTCCTGCAGCAGCCCTGTGGCACAAAGTGTGACAGTCTGCAAATCCTGGCACCTATTTCTGGAAAATTGGATGGGTTGTTATAACTTTATGTGGCAATGAATGAATGAACTATTGTAGAATTAGTCACTGCAAGCATAACAGGGAAAAAAAAAATCTCTTTTCATGTCAGATTTTCTGAGATGGAAAATGTGGATGAAGCAACAGTACCTTGACTGCAGTTAAGGAACATAGTCATGGTTAATAACAGAGGCGAGTTTATCTCAAGGCGTATGCTTGAGCACCAGTGTACGTGGCAAGGAAAGGAAAGCATCTTACTCTGGCTGCAGAACTTTCTGTCCTGTCTTAAAAGCTTCTGGTAGAAGGTGGCCTTAAACCTATTTCTCGTCACCTTCATCCTCTGTTTTCAGTTGGTTTTCTTTTTATCTCTGGCAATAGTAAGATTTATTTCTGTCGGACAGATTTGAAGAACTACTGTTGCAGTGCAATAAACTATTGTAGTTACAAACCTCTGAGCTGCTGGGAGCATCTCCCTAGCTGAGGCAACGTATCTCCGGTTTTCCCTGGAGGAAGCCGCCAGAGAATTCAGTCTGACTCATTCCTGCTCAAGTCTCGCAGCCTGTCTGCCTTGCCCTTTCTCCTTTTTGTTATTTACACCGTGGAAGGAGGTCAGCATTTATTCCCCGACACTTGATTTAGTACTGAGAGGACCACGCTTCTATGGGAATTATCTTCAACAACACATTATGAGCAGACTGTAACCACAGCCACTGAGGTGAAACTTCACCTGGTGTAGATTTCATCGCTCCATTAATTGCAGTAGCATAACAGGATTCCTGTTATATATAGTAGTTGCTGGATTTTAGTAGGATTTCCATGGACCTGTGTTAATTGAAATTTCATTTTCAACTACTTAAAAGGGACAGTTGAGCAAGATATATAAGGTTCATGAATGCCATTAGTTCATTAATATTATTCCACAAAACCAGCATTACGCAGGCATCAATAACCAAATTATTACTGTGCTATACTCTGCGTTGGTTGCAACCTGAATTTCTGCATTGTTTGGTAATTACCTGAATAGGATTGCTTACTCCATCATATTCACAGCCACAGTTGTTATTTGGAAAAGCAAAATAATATTGGTGTCTCTGTTGCTACTGGTAGATTGTTGTCAATAACTTTGCTGCCTGCAGCAAGGGAAGCAGTCCCTGTGCAGTGATTTTACTGCAGCTTTTAATTGCAATGGCTTGTGTCCCTGCAGAGCCAGGAGGAAGAATTGCATAATCAAGGGGCTTTATCTAGGCAACAGCCCCCCTCCCCGCCCCAACCCAAACAAACAGAACTACAAAGAAAAAGCATTAGGGAGGTAGGCACTCCTGAAAACAGCTCAGAATATCTTAAGATAGGTCTTGGATGGCAGTTCTGCCACTTTACCAGGTTATTGTCCCTTTCCGTTGACTCTAAGGGGAATTGAGGGACCCTGTCCGCGTAAACTTAAATGCCTTGGTGTGGGTTTTTAAGCGACATGCTGAATAGGCAGACCCAAATATACAGGTGAAACTCCACATTCTGAACAGCTCGTTCTCAGTGTTTTTCTTCTCCCTGTGTGGGGAGAAGAAACACGTAGCCTGAAGTGCAGTACAGGAGGCAGTGTGAAAATGAAAGGTGAGAAAAACGACAGGGAATTTATTCAGGGTGGATGTTGTTGTTTGATCAAGCAGAGTGGCTTTGGAACAAGGGTGAATGTGAAGCAAAATGGTAAACAGGCAAAATACCCTGTGCTACCTATGAAACAATATGTTCTTAAACTGTAAATAGAATAGGAACATTTTATTCCTGCTCTAGTCCTTTATTATGTTATGGCAAGCCTTGCTCCACAGTGCTCTCTGCTGGAAGTTTACTATATTACCATCTTCTGTCAAAATTACAGTAATTTGGGGTTGGGTTTTTTTGCATTTGTTAATTAAGTAAAATTGTAGTAGTCAGTTCTTCTTAAGAATTTATTTGCACTACGCTGTAATATCAGGTAGCTACATATTTTCACTTTGAGTTAAATCAACAATTAATATGAGATAAAGGCATAAAAGCCTGTGAAGGGAAGTGCAATCCAATCTCAAGAAAATCAAGTCTTTGATAGTGAATGAGAGCAGGTAACAGAACTTTGTCCCTGTCTTGCCAAGGGGGAACACACAGTACCGTGTCTAAATACATATCCACTGCAAACTGCTGATGTAATTGTACTTTTGGGGTTTTTTTGCAACACCCACGTGTGTTGTATGTTTCTTCCTTGTTTCCAGCAGCAAGTCGATGACTTTTTGAATGTCTACTGCTCAGTGCCAGAGAGCATCCAGAAGGAGAGTGCTTGGGAAACACAAACGTATGTTCACTTCTGTGACGGCCAAGGAGTGGCGCTGACCCTCAAGCCAGAGCACAGGGTGGAAGATGTTTTGTCCTTGGCATGCAAGGTACCGATTTTTCCTGTACGATTGCACCTTGTTAATAGCTGTGGACTTGAGAACGAATGTAATATATCAGGGGATGCGTAAATAGTGAGAGTATAATACCAGCATCTCCCTGTCACTGTATTAAGGCACATTGCTCTGTTTCCTTTAGTTGTGCTATTTATGTATTGTAGCCACAGCAGCAGGGTTGTGGAAGGGCTTTCAAGAAGTGTTGCTTGAGGCAGCACACATCGAACACTTAAAGAGCGGTGACAGTTTGCCAGGTAGTCAGCCCCTGAGAAATCTCAGCACGTGCCCACTCCGTGTTGTCATTGCGGCGAACCCAGTTTTTTCTGTGCAAATAATCACAAAGGACTAACGGGGAATGGTTGGGTTAATGCCAGGAGATTAAGACATTTAAGACTGGTGTGACAAAGGCTATCATATATGTTTGCTTCTTAAAGGAACCTTTTCAAGGTTCAAGCTTTTAATTAAATAGCAGCTCTACTTGTGAATTTCAGAGTACATTCCTTTCTGAAAGTCAGTGCTAGCAATTTGAGAGGGATTGCTATAGAACTTGGGAGAGAAAAACTCAGTAATAGGTTGAAGGTAAAGTAGAAATACCAATTTTAACTACAGACAAAAGACCAGCACCTCTAGAATATCACAACATACCTACCACCTTTGTCTCCGTGTGTGTCAGTGCTTGAGTTTAGCTCTAACTTCATGATTCAAGTCACTTAAATTATGCAAAAAAAGGTTTTTGGAAAAACTGACTTTTTACTCCCAAGTTCTGTTTTCTGATAACTGGTAAATATAGTGTATTTACTTCACAAGTAAAGGGGAAAACCAGGAAAAAAAAGGAGTCCTGCTCTGTACAAAATCCAGCTGTAGATTTTGGCATTGGTTAGCGTGAACTTTCAGGTGAGCTCATTCAGCTGGCTTGAAGTTAATGAATTTTGAGTCTTCTGATGAAGGAAAGGACCCAGTTTAATGGCTCTTTTCATTGAGAAAATGTTTTAAAGAAAACTGTAAAAAAAAATTATTTTTATTATTTTTTTTATTAATTGTTGTAAAAAAATAAAATTATGAAAGATACAAGTTTTTAAAAATCTAGGGCTAACTATACTTTTAAAATCAAAGTAAGAACATAGCTTTAGTCAAGTCATAATGCATCTCCATGGTATCACTGAGAAGAAATTATCTTCTCCTAGCTTTTGCTGGTGGAAACTGAATCCTGGAAAAACAGTTTATTGCCTGGCTTTACTTTTTAAAATTTCCCTTTACTAGGCTGAAGGGATTCGCTGAGACGTTATTTGACCACCAGATGGCACGGTAGAGCTGAAACATTTGGAAGTAGTTATCGTGACATGCAAGACCCCTGAAAGAGAAAATAAAATTTATAAATGTAAAATTAAGTTGAAAAGGAAATTCCTTACCTCTCTTACTCCATCCTTCCAAAATATTTGTAACTGTAAAACTGACTTTTTAATTTTTCAATGTCTGTATCACATGAAAATTTAGTCTTAAATTCTTTGATTTTTTTTTTCTTAAACATTTTTCTGTTTTATTTTTTCTTTCTATTCTGTGTGTAAAGCTTTTCATAAGCATTATCTAATGCTGAATACTTTCTGCTCATCTGTCCTGGTTCTTTTCCTTCTTACATTTTCATTCCGCTCTGGTGAGTGTAAGGAATCTTTCTTCTTAACAGAACATGTTTGAATATTATGTGTATAAGGATAAAGTTCAAAGGGATTGTTTGGGTTTTTTCCCCTTCATTCATGTTTTATGGGGTTTGTACTGTTCTCATTTCTGTTATTCTTCTGAGGCTTTTGGATAGCACATATAGAAAAAAATGTGCATTTGAATACAGTTGTTCAGGATACAGAACACATGTAACTTGTAAACTGTTACACATAATAAAATGTGAAGGTAATTCCTAGTTACTCAGTAGATTTAGATTTTGTAAGCTGCAGAGATGCATTGAAGGTAACCCTAAAGTTTCAGTCACTCCTCCTGTTTTAGAAATGTTGCTCGATTAATATGCTAAAATGAAATGTTTTGTGCAGTGGTCTCACCAGCATCCTGATTTTCAGAGACACTCTCATCAGGGGCTCCACACTTTCAGGCTAATATCCTTTGGGAATATTCCTATTTCCCTTTGACTTCCTGTTGAGACAGGATTTTTGCTTTGACCTCACGTGGTGAAGAAAAATAGGTGAAACTCTCTGATCATAGATGAAACCCAGCAATAAAAATAAAATCCAACAAAGGCAAACCCTTAGGGAACTTGCTTCCCATCCCCTCTCCTAACAGCCTGTACATGCATATACATTTTCTACATCAGAAGAAAAAGTTGCTGAGCCGAACTGAGTCGTTAAAAGTAGTCACAGAAATAGATGGTTGTGAGTGTAAGCTCAAAAGAAGAGAAAATAGTTGTGATATCTTTGGAAACATATAGCAGTGCTCGGTTAATCTAATAGCAAAGACGTAGTGTTTGTGAAAGGATTTGGGAGGATCTCAAGGGAAAATGGAAATTGCACTTGAACCTTATCTTCTAAGCAATGCAGCTAGTTTTGTTTATACCACAAAAATAGTTAGAAAATGACTTGTTGAGGATTTCTTTTGCATGATTTCTAAAGAGCTTTTTGTGCATGTGTGTCACTTCTTTGTCTTCTGGGTTTCTGGAAATAAATAACAAATTCCAAACCCCATTCTCTTTATTTCTTAGATGAAACAGCTGGAGCCAAGACACTACGGCCTACAACTCAGAAGACTTGTTGATGAAAATACTGAGTATTGTGCTCCTGAACCGTACGAATACATAGTAGACCAGGAAAGTGTGACTCCTTTTAGATAAAGCTCTATGATGTCTGTAGCTACGGTTGAATTATCACCTATCAGTATGTGTGATTTAGATCTAAAATAAGGTTGTAAAGCTGTTCCTGGATTGCATTCTGCCATCCTCATTCACACAGTCCGTGCCTATGCAGACGTTTGGGTGGCTGGGCACTACAAACGCGCTCTTCAAGAGCTGTTTGAAGATTTAAGTGGGGCTTCTGGTTCGAAAGCAAAGTGTCAGTCTCTGCTCCAGGCTGGGTTTTCTATCTTTAGCTTCCTCTGCGTTTAGTCCCACTGATAGCAGTGGTGCTTGTACAGTAACACAGTTCCCTGTGTAAAGACGGCAAGTTTTGGCTCTTTATTGATGCAAAGGATATTGTGCTTATTTCCCATGCTGTGCCTTTGGGTTTTAGTGCTTGCAATTTCATAATTTTATGACTTCTATTATTGATTTTTTTTTCCAACAGGTGTACGATGAAATAGAAATTTGTCCATTAAATGTTTATCACATTCATCTTACAAAGACTGAAAACATAAGTGATTTTGGTAAGTTTAAACAAAACAGCTCTCAGGAATTCCTCTTTTTATTCTCATTGCGTACTTTCTCTCTTCAAGACTTTTCTGTACCTGAGAGCAGGTAGAGCCATCCTTGATAGCTCAAAATCTGAGTCTGCAAAGGACTCAAGGCATAATAACAAAGACCCAGACTGGTGGTTTTACACTGGCAAGCGCATTTCTTATGTTGCCGTTTGGGAAGCGTCCACTTTCTAATTCCGCTGCGCTGGCCAAATAATTCAGGCGTGGAATTCACAGAAGACAAATGTCCTTTGCCAGGATCAATACAATTGGTCTCAGTCGGACCATGGTCAAGGTCTGCCTGCCTTTTTTTTCTTTTTCTTTTTTTTTTTTTTTTCCAGTAGTTGGATCCTCTGTTGGCACAGTATCAACAGAGCATCCTTTGGTACAAATTCTGACAGGCTTTTTATCCGTGGGAGGTGATTATGCCTAGGAATAATTATATACCTTGCTCTGTGCTGTTGTTCAGCTGCAAGTCTGTTGGTATAAATTATTCCTTTCTGGGCTCTCACTCACTGGTCTACATGGATTTGTTGCTTTGTAGTTTGGGCTTCCAGCTTTTGGATCTGTTTAAGACACCTCTATGTCTGATGGACACACTGCAGAACTCTTACCATAACAATGAGCTGTGCTATTGAAATGTCACATGGGGCTGAGGTAGAAAATATTTTTTTGAAATGTAATGTGCTTTTTTTACAGCACAGCATGACATTTCCTGCAAGTTGGAAAGTTCTATTAACTTTAACAGGCCTTGCGATGACTGAGAAACAAAGTGATAATTTCTCTATGCTCCGTGGGTGTGTTCTCACAAGAAGCGTAGAGTCTACTAAATACACAAAATAAAAGGAAAATGTTTCCAAGACAGCTTATTTGAGTTAAACCTCTTTTACTTCAGGTTTTGCTGTCACAGCACAAGTTGATGAAAATCAGCATCTCACCCGTATATTTGTAAGTGATGTTCTCCCTGATGGACTGGCATACAAGGAAGGTATTGTATTGTATTTATGTTTAATACTGTACTTCATTATCTTTTAAAGTCCCAAAATATGAAGGAGCTTTAGTACCGTTGTCTGAAATGGTTCTTGGCTTTTACTATTCATAGTTTTCTTTCCTGAGGACCATGGGAAGTTTGTGATACTAGGAAAGATAATGTGCATAGAGTAACTGAATTATCCTTTCAATATAGCAGGCAGAGTTCTTGTTCGCCCTGGGAGACAAAGTCTGTGTTCAGCCATCCGACCAAGTGCTTTTGCAGAGAGGAACAGGCTGGAGAAAGAGTTCATCTCACACTGGGGAACCTCATGGGCTTGGTCAATCTCCGAGACCTATCTCTTCCACTTTTGCTGGCAGAGAAAAGTAGCCTCCCTCCCCAAAACAGTTTTCTGCATACGTTTCTGTGAGCATCTTCTCCACTGTGCTGCTCAGAAACCGTGCTTCTCTTCATTGGCACAGCAGGATCATGTCAATTCTGCTCTCTGAAAAACAGAGAGACAAACCCAGAAAAACAGAGACAGTTTCATTTGCTACCTGAGGGTAATGACCACTCAGTTGTTGCTGACGTTGAAAGGCAGCGGTTGCCACTGTTTAGATTTATACAGAAGCTGATAAAGACTCTATCTGCTGTTGTTCCAGTTTTGCATGAATGATTTGATCTGCGTGACTAGTGCCTTGTTCTTCCCGGATAATGAAATGTGTGTTATGGTGCTGTACACTGGTGGTATCTGAGTCGTGAGAGGTGCCTCGATTCTAATTTTGAAAGTTGTGCTGCCCCCCGCCCCCAAATTCTGTAGCATCTTTAGAAAGAAACAGTTCGATTGCTGTACTAAGTGTAACACCTATCAAAGAAGGCATGAGGTCGATCTGTATAACTATAGCACAAATAAAGCTCCCATCTATTCTAATAGACTTGTGGTAGGATTAGGCTATTTGAATTGAAACCACAAAAATAAAAGGTGAAGCAGCATAAGGTTTGGTTTGTGACCCTTTATGTTTGATGTTCCCTCTTTTTTAAAAAAAAAAAATTTCTTCTTCTTTCCTTCCACGTGCTCCCAGGTCTCCGAGTAGGCAATGAAATCCTGAGCATAAATGGAGAGGCTGTGTCTGATCTTGACCTCAGACAGATGGAGTTACTGTTTTCAGAGAGAAGTGTAATGCTCACTCTGAGAATGAACCATTCCGGGACCCAGCAACCATTATGTGTGTCCTGGTCAGATGGTGACATTTCCAGGGACCCAAAGAGTTTGTTGCCCCCTCCAAACCAGTCACAGCTCCTGGAAGAGTTTCTAGATAACTTCAAAAAGAACACAGCAAATGGTAAGAGACTGACATTAATTTCATTACTTTCACCTCACTTCCAATATAGTTTTTTAAAACTCAATTATGTTTAAAATTCTGTTCTTGCCTCAGTGAGAAACCCAAGTATAAATTGTTTAAGTTCCATTTATGCTCCATATCTGTCTGTTATTTTACTATTTTCTAGAAAATAGAAATGGAACAGAATATGATCATTTCTGCAGGGAAATTATATTCTTTTAATCTGTTTGGCTGCACCATCCAGTATTATGAAGCTCTTTCTTAATTGTTCTGTGTTGTCTCGGGTACCTTGGATACATCCCTTTCCCAGGCATCAGTGGTTGAAATGATGTGATGGCTTTCAGAGGCAGAAGTATTCTGTGTTTAGCGTGCTTTACATATGGCAAAGTACCACATACATTAAGAGTACCTTAAATGTAATAATCATCGTCACCTCAGAAAGAAATAATTTAGCTCTGCTCCCACCCAGTGACGTTATCGTGTAATCTGTTTGGCTGCACCATCCAGTATTATGAAGCTCTTTCTTAATTGTTCTGTGTTGTCTCGGGTACCTTGGATACATCCCTTTCCCAGGCATCAGTGGTTGAAATGATGTGATGGCTTTCAGAGGCAGAAGTATTCTGTGTTTAGCGTGCTTTACATATGGCAAAGTACCACATCCATTAAGAGTACCTTAAATGTAATAATCATCATCACCTCAGAAAGAAAAATCATTTAGCTCTGCTCCCACCCAGTGACATTATCGTGTTCCCGTTGGATACAGCCGCTCGCTGTGTAAAAGAAAGCCTACGAAAGCAGCTTTCATAGGGATTGTTTTGCTACGACTTGCTCATATTTCTTACTCAACGTAATACCACTGTGTTAAACATTGAATGGAGGACATACCCTAACAGTGCTGTGTCAGGGTGAGATCCTGATGGGTTTCCATATGAGGAGCAGCAGGTAGGGAAGGTGCCAAAAGCCTCCGTGGTAAGGACTGCTCCTGGATGATACCACGGCCCCCCCAGCCCCAAGGTGAGTGCCAGTGCTCACTGCTGGGTTGCCTTTTCAGCTGGAAATAGGAGGTGGCATGTAGAGGGGCACTGCCATGCTGGGTGGAGGAGAGCCGTGGTCACCTTTCCCTTCCTTTAGCTGATCTTACCTCGCGTGAGAAATACATCTTGTGAAACCAGAATTCTTGTAAACCCCTGTCTGAAATAGAAGGTATGTGGGGATTTTCTCCCCTTCCTTCCCACACCTTGACTATTTTTCAAACAAGATAGAAGCAAATTTAACTCTAGTTTCCCGAGTGTAAAAGGTGCAGTTTCCTTGCTGCACCTCTGGGGGATGCTAGTAAAATTCTGCATGAAAGCTAGCCAGAGCGCACCGCTGTGCGAGGAGAGCAGTAAAGGTACAAAAAGGGATCGCTGATTTTTGTATAAAATTATGGTGGCGAGTGTTTTCTGATTGGAATTTTTTTTGTAATTAAAAATGAGGGAAAAAAAGAATCACATAGGAGAAGTTGTTAGAATGGATTTAATTATAAAGCAATTTTATTAGGTCATCTTTTGAAATTAAAAGAAATCTGAATACAAGATTTGTGATACAGTAAGTAGCATCTCTCTCAGGGGCCTTAGTTCAATTTAAAATGCCATTAAATTGACTACTGGCACATAAAAGTTACTGTCATAAAACAAAAATTATGATAGAGCTAATTAATTACATAATTATACCAGGGCTGTCATTCAGCTTGTTGGCTTGATATCATAGGCCAGCATTACCTGGAGTATTCAATATAATAAATTTATGTGTCCATTCACTAGATTCCTCATTCCTCTGGGATAAATTTGCAAATATTCCATTATACTAGGAAATTACTGGAGTATATATTACAGTCTAATCACTAGTGGATAAAGGGACATAGTATATTTGCTTTTCTGCTTAAAAGCAGCTAAGGAAGAGTTCATCTATTCTGAAAGGGAACAAATAGTTCTAAATTAAGCTTTGTGAGAAGGACTTGTGTGTTTATTGAATTCAGTGCTTAGTGTCCAATCACCTGATCGGATTCAAATGGAAACAGAAGAAAATGGCATAACTTTAAATTAATAGATAATCATAAAGGGTTTAACTGTTCTATGTCCTGTTACTCAGGAATTGAATAAGATTTTAGATAAGAAGAGGGGGTATTTAATGATCCGAGCAGGGATTTGGAGGCCAGAGACTCTTAAATTCACATCCAGTGTTTAATACTGGTCTGTCTCCTTTGGTAGAGTTGAGTGAGTCACTCTTAAGACCAGAGTTTTCAGAAATAATTTCTGAAGTTTGCTCGTCCATGTTAGGCCTGTTCTTCCAAGGCAGCGCCTTTGAAAGTGCCAGCGGAGGGGGACCTCTTTCAAAAATCAAGCACAATTTGGCCCAAGGTACATGCCTGCAGTTAAAAACCTTAATGTTTATGCTGTCGCCTCCCTGTTTTTAAAAATTAACTAACTCTGTTTATCTTTCTAGAGTACTATGAGGATTAATGAGCTAAAATTAACAAAGTGCTTGAAAAATGGAAATTTTCAGCACTGAGTCACCCGGTAATACCCTGCCTGGTGCTTGGTGACAACCACCAGGCGAAAGCAAAACAGAATTTACTTTAAATCACTGGCTTTGTATAACTTGGGTGGCAATAGTTTGTCCACATTTGTTTACAGTTTTGTAACTGCTTAGCATAACTCTGATGAATGCCTTTTCCTATGTATTCTGCTACATTGAGGATACCAGATTATACCTCGTGGCAAACTTTGGCAGCCTTTGCTGTTCAGAAGGGAAGTGATTGACTTTCTCCAAACCCACTAACTCTGCCACTCCTAAAAATCATTCCCAGGGAGTTTTCTGAGAGTGATTCATTTTCTCCAAGAGGTTGCTATACCCTCATAGCTCTATTTTGGACCTGCTGTGGACGTATCATTTGATCTCCCACGTGGCAATGCTATGTGCTTGCTGCTTAGCCGCTTAGCTAGTAATAAGCTTATCCTGGAAAAGAAATGAGATGAAATACTTTTAAAAAATGCACTCATAAATGTGGAAAATCAAATAACAGAGCAACTAAATTTGCTCGAAGCTCCAGTGCTAAGGAAATTAAACAAATATTTGTGTAGAATTAAAAAAATGAGGGAATTGGACTGGAATTCTTACAACTGTGGAGGAAAAAAAGGCCTCATTTTAAGATGGCATGGATAGTTGAGGAATAAACAGAGAAGGTATGAAAATTGAAAACTGTATATTTAGGACAACCCCATGTGGGTTAATGAGATATCTATAGAGTGCTGAGGGAGGAGGTAGAAGCATTAGTAGGTGTGAAAACCCATTGCAGTATGTGAGTTGCTGTCACAGTTGAGCAATTTTAATTTTTTTTTTTTCCCCGGCAAGTGAGTTTCTGCCAAAAAAGCTGTCATTTCTGGTTAGTTGACACTGTTGAAATCAACTCTAATTTGTAAATAGAGCTCTCTGATTAAAAGAAGGAAAAAAAAAAAAAAAAGAAGAAAAAAGTAGGGGGATAGCAGTTTGGATATGCTTTAACAAGTTTATATGAAGACAAACTTTCATCTAGGAGCATTAGAGAGCTAAATGGGAAACAAACTATTAAAAAAAGAAAAACCAATAAAGATGGACATACTGTTCCTTTGCTCCCTGTTGTACTCCTCATCTTTGGGGTAGGGCACTTACCTTCTGTGCAGGGTCTGGGTTCTTGTCTGACTCATCTTTCTAGAGGTGTGGTCCAGGAGTGGTGGAGAAGGCTTGGGTGCTGCTGACAAGGGGGATGCTTGCTGCTCCTCCTCCTCCTCCCCTGCACTGCCTTAGCCCTCCCTTCCAGCCCCATAGCACTTGCCCCGCCCCGGTGCAGGCAGTGGCACTTGCTGGAGCACTTGATGAAGCTAATTAAGGAGAAAACTTCCTTTCCCCCTAACCCCCTGCAAACTCAGTGAGTTGAACCGGTGGGTGCGGAGGTCTGCCAGGGGCCAGAGCCAGGTAAGCAGGAGGAGGAGGAGCGGGGAGCAGGCAGGTGCCGGGGCAGAGCTGGTTGCGAGGAGAGTTGCTGTCAGAGGCGGCGAGCTCTTTCGGTCGACCTTCCTGCAGAACACCTCCCTAGCCATTTTGGAGCATGGGTTTTGCCCTTTGATTTCCCACCTCTCGGGCTGATCCCTGCGTAGCGGCATGGTCTGGGATGTGCCGGCTTGAGTCACTGCTGATGAAGCTATTTCATGTTGTATAAAGCATGGCTGGAGTCCGAGAGAGAGTCAGGCTTCGTGCTGTTTGCTGGGTTGTGTGTTGGAGAGGAGCAATGACATTTCAGGTCCTGATCTACTAAACACTGAGATATTTTTGCAAAATGTAACTGTTTCAGGAGGAGGATCAGTGGTTTGAACCCTCACGTGGGAAGTGGCTCTTCAGTTTCCCAAGACGTGAGCCGCTTCTGATTTTAATCTTAGGCTTTGCTTCTGTGTATGCTTACTATCGGTTGGCCACAAGTTTAATTTTGATATGACTAAATTCTTTTTAAAAATGTGGTTGTAATAATAATTGGTTTGGATTCAATTCCAAGGTACTTTCTGTTTCAAATACACTTTGCTAGATAATTTAGATGCCTCTGTAACGTGTAATTGCAGCTCACAGCTTCTCCAGAAAACTTTGTTCCATTCAGTGTTGTCAGATACCACTGAGTCGAGGGAGGCAAAAGGGAGACAGAGGTTGGCTCTGCAGCCCGCTGGCTGCATGCACGTCGCTGTGCACACTGCTCCAGGTAGCACTCCCTGCATCCTCTTCCAGCCTGAGTATCAGAAAGACCTGCGTGTCCCTCTCAAGAAAAGAGAGAAAGTCAGGAGGACATGAAGCTAAGGGGGTCCGTAGCCTCCGGCAGCTGGGGGCTGTGCCTGGAGCACTGGCTCACACTGCTCTGCTTGTTGCTGTTTGCCCATAGTTTTTAAAGCATTTCGTAAGCATCTTTTACTGTAACGTTCAAAGCATTTCGTAAACAA